GCCTCACCGAGACGGCGTCGTGGTGCCCTGTGAAGATGTGCAGGCGCTTGCATGTGGCTGCATCCCAGATCATGATCAGCTTGTTCCTGTCTCCCGTAGCCTAGCAGAACACAGGGGGTACTTGAGACCCACCCCTCGGGGACCCATGGCCCGCCCCAGCCTCCGCTCCCACCCCGTGTGCTTTGGGGGGGTCCCAGGGACCCGTTCTTGACTCTGGTGGGGGTAGGGGCTGCCTTAACCCAGCAAGGTACACATGGCCATGAGACACTGCTCCCCAGGATCCCGGGAGGAGATGCACGCCCCACCACCACCTCTCTGTCCCCAGCAGCAGTGCCAGCGACCTCTCCCATACCAGGTACTTGCCATCCGACGAGATGGCCATGCAGAGAACATGGGACGCGTGCCCCATGTGCCGCTCCTCAGTGCCCTTCTTTCCCCCAGGCACCACGCACAGCCTCTTCCCGCTCTCCACCTCCCCTGCGGAAAAGGCATTACTATCACCCCCTGGGAGCATCCCACCACTCTGGAAAGCGCCAACAAGCCTCCCACAGAGGCTGAAGTGGTGGACATGCACATCCCTGGAGGGGCCGGGGGCAAAGCCACCTCCACAGGGACCCACAGTCCTGCTGCTGCAGGGTCCCTGCAGGGGTCAGGCTGGGGGAACAGCCAGTCACAGCCCCAAGGGAACACTTGCATTTGATGACGGCGCCGTCCTTGGAAGCGGAAAAGATGAACCTGTCATCTGGAGAGATGACCAGGCAGGTGACGGGCAGCTGGTGGCCCCGCAGCACGCGGATGCTGGCTGGATCCGGAGGCTGCACCTGCAGGGAGAGCGGGATGTGAGCTGGGCTGTCCCCGGCCCCTTCCCCAGATGTGGGAGTACCCGAGCATGGCACCCTCCCATCCCCAGGGCTCCAGCAGCCGGCACCCTGGGCAGAAGGGTCCTGGTCCTGCAGCCAGTTGTCTACTTTACAGAAAACTGACAGGGAAAGCCTATTCATTCCTACCTGCTGAATGTG